AGTCTAGACACAGCCTCAGAGGCTGCTCTGCATGTAGATCCTTCAATTTGAGGCATGCCCCTATAGTCCAATTCCTGAGTCACATAGAGCAGGCCTTCTTTGGACCTCCTGGTTTTCAAAGGGGGTGGTGGCTGGCTTAGACTCCATTCCAACCCCCACCATCCTCCCTGACCCCCTTCCTCATCCCCCTTTCCATCCCTACCCCTACCTCCGTTCCTATACCTACCCATCCTCCATAAACCCTCTGCCTCCCCACCCCACACTGCCGATCCCTACTCCCACCTCCTTCCTCCATATTCCTACACCCCCATCCTTCCCTAACTCCTCCCCCTCCACCGTCCCACACTGCCCATCCCCCTTTCTCCATTCCTATATCCCCCTTACCTCCACCATCCCCTCTTACCACACCACCCAGCCTCACATACACTCTTAACCCCTTTCCTCCCTTCCTACGCACACCCTGCCCCCTCCCATGAACAGGCAACCTAACCAGCAAAGAAAAGGCACGAGGCCCATATGCAGGAATTTCTGTGGGGGGCTGCTCCAGGTGGTGTGACAGCAGGATCTGGGCAGCTGCCTGGAGAGAAGGGGCAGGAAAGGTGGCATTGCTGGGGTGCTGTGAAGTGGGAAAGGGGGATGTCTGTGAGCAGAGGAAATGCAAAGGAGGCAGAGAAAGAGGCTGAAGGGAGGGGCAGAGAGCAGGGGGTCCTTTGGGATGCCAGTTTGAGAAGGGGGGATGGGAGTCAGTGAGGGGGCACGAGAGAGTCTGAGAACACATGTGGAGGATGGAAAGAGGACTGGGGAGCCATGCAGTGAGGGGGTGGTCTCCAGGCACCACTATGCAGAGGCAGGCGCTTCTCCCCTGGCAGCCAATCCGAACGCTGCTGGGCCTCCCCTCTGTGATGCCTCAGGGGCTGTCAGACTGCAACAGTGGTTTCCACTGGGGCGGCTCAGCACTGGTGCGGCAGCTTGGATTGCAGCGGAGGATGGGGAAGTGTCTGGGGATGCAGGACATGGAGTCTGCCTCCATTCCTGGCGTCAGTGGGCCACCCTCTGGGCCTTGCACCAGTTGAAGCAGCCCCCTGGGCCAGGAGAGGGGAGGAGGGGACTGAGAGCCTTGCCTGGGAGGAGCACAGTTTTGCAGCCCCTGTCTGCGGGCAGTGAGCCAAAGCTCAGGCCGCCCCACACACGTGGTCACGCACCACAGGCAGCTGCCAGAAGGGAACATGGCACAGTGGTTGCTTCCCCTAAACAGGGGGCCACCAGGGCCGGCCCAGCACACAGCCTGTGCCTCCCCTTAGACATGAGGTCCTGCACCATTTTCTCTGTGGGCCTGTTGCTGCACGGCTCCTTAGGCCCTCTGGCTGCTGGGAAGGCCCCAACATCTCCAAGTCTAGCCACCCCGGAGCTTCTATCTGGGATTTCCCCTCTGAACAAATGCAGCGATACTGCCACAGCTCCATTGCCTGCAGCAGGCTGATCCAGAGAGGCGCCCACATCCTGGACGGAATTGCTTCCTGCCCCAGACACAGTTTGGGAACAGCAAAGCTGCCTGGCAGCCCAGCCTGGGCAGATTCTACCTCCCAAGGGTCCTGCCTGCTTAGCTCTGGCTGTGGACTTTCAGGAGGTGGAATCTGCCCAGGCCAGGCTGCCAGGCAGCTTTCGTGTCCCCAGACAGTGTCTGGAGCAGGGTGGCCATGGGAAAGAGGAGCCTGTGGGATGCAGAGTGATGTGATGACATCACACTGTCTTCCCGCAGGAAAAATCTAAAAAATATTTGCTAACAAAATTAAAATTGAGTCGCTTAGTCAATTGTCATTTTAGTGCAAAGAAAATTCGTCCTGTTACAAATCACAAAATAATTCAATTCATTACAGAAAAAGTAATAGAATCTTTGGGTTTGTGATTCAAATTTACTACGTATGATAATTACTTAGTAAAATGAATAACGTTTGAAGTTGAAATCCTACACGTTTAAAACTGATCTTTTACTTCCCTTTTGCAAGCACATGAATAAAAAATTCTATTACATGTATTTCATTTCTTGAACTTTTTTATACATGTAATCTATGCAAAATGACTTTGCCTGGTCACCGATGGGCCTCACCTGCTTTTGTGTGTGTGCGTGTTTAAAGTTAAAACTCACCTATCTTTGTTAAGTTTGTGTAAATACTACAGTAATTACTACCTGTATTTTTCAATGTTCCAGGTAAATCCAGAACTGACTGTCTGCTTTGAAGAGAAAGGTTTGAAATTTGTTGGCCAAGACACAGAAGGGAATAGAATGGAGATCATTGAGCTAGAAAGTAAGTATCTCTGTTTTTTTGTAACATATTCTGTATAATCAGAATGAACTATATATAAAAACATTATTGATTAAATCCAAAATGACTCTCGTATCCTATGAGGTCCCATGGGCTGACTGCTCTAGTACAAAGAGATGAGGTGCCAAACAGAATATGTTAGGAACCACTGTAACAAGAGATGCTGTCAGGGAACACTACTGAGAGTACCAATTCAAAGCAAACTGTTCAGAAATCAGGCTGCTTTCAGCCCAAAACTAGGGTTCCTCTACCACAAAGCACACCAAATCACTCAAAAAGAGAATTTCTGTTTCACCACATGGGCTAACAGGAAGTCAGACTTCAATTTTCCTGTATCACCACCAGTAGCACTCCTTATACAGATGAGAGGTTATGTAAACCAATCTCATTGCACTCCTTATACAGATGAGAGGTTATGAAAACCAATCTCATTAAAAAAAAAAAGATTCTTCTAACCCCAAAGGACCAGCTACTTGCCCAGGTCAATAGATAACTTAAAATCTTATCCCAAACCCACACCATCTCAGTCCTTTAGTATCTAAAATCTAAAGGTTTATTCATAAAAGAAAGGGTGAGATTTAAATTTGTTAAAGGAATCAAGTATACAGCTTGCAAAATAAACAATTGCAAAATTTTTGGTTCAAGCTTGTAGCAGAGATGAAATAAACTGCTCGCTTAAATCAAGTCTCTGGAGTACATCTGCAGGTTGGATAAGTCATTTAGTCCTTTCTTTAAAGCTTTAGTTGGTAGCAAAGTTTTCCAGAGGTAAGAAGCAGGATTCAAGATCAAATGAAGAGGTTTCCCAGAACCTTTTATATCTTCTGCCATGTAGAGAGAATCCCGTTGTTCTTGCTATGTAAAAGTACAACCACAAGACGGATCACCTGCCTATGCAAGATTCAACAACTCATGAAAACATCGGAATACTCAGGTGTTTGCCAAACTAGTAGCTAAGGTAGTGCCAGAAAGGCTAAAGAACTTCCCCTCAAACAGGTAAGTCTAGAAGGGATTATTGCCATTACTGAAGACCTTTTTATGGCTATTAATTGTTCATATAACTCTGAAGATAAAATATCTCCACAAGAGGAAGATGGAATAGAATCCATAAAAGGAGTGCCAGATGGGATTCTTGGTACCATTCTACTTTTAACCCTCAACAAAATACATATATCTTTTAGTGTCCCTTCCCTGAATTGAAGGAGAACCACCATCTATAAGGCAAGCTCAATTTCTTCACATTGAAGTAAAAATATTTCATTTCTAATAGATGGGATTTAGAAATTTGAATACTAAGTAGATTTGGATTTGTTACACCAAATACAATTTACCTTCTCCCCTATGGCTAAGGACCTCCACAAAACATAAAGGAGAACATATTCTGCAGATTGACTTTATTTAATTTTTAGATAGAATTGCCAGCAGTTCTTTTCTTCTGAGCCCCTTGCTGATTCATCCCTCTTTTAAAATCACAATGGCTAATAAATGTTAACTATTAGCTAAATTTCAGCCATAATATACAGAATCAAAGTTAAAGGTAAATTGTTTCTAAAAGGATTCTCTGGAGACAATAAATTTTACACACCCTAATGTGTTAATTAGACTTCCAATATATCTTGTATGTGGGATATTTTATACTGCTAAAACACAAAGTTATCTTTCTGTTATAATTTCTGTCAAAGAACAAAGCTTTAATTCTGAACCAGAGTTTAGATGAAGATGCATTTCTGTCATGTAAACATCTGCAGTATAGATTGCCACTAAGGAGTACATCAGAATTCAAAAACAAATAACTCTCATGGTGGTTTTTGTTTAGTTTGTTCCCACTACAACTGCTGACAATTGTTATTAGAAGGCTATTTCATTTGCCTTTTATAAAAATTTATGTAGGGATCATAATTAGTACAGGGTTTTTAAATGGTATGCTGCCAGAGAGGAATAAGAATGGCAATAAAACAATGGTTTGCAAGAGGATCATTGAAGGGGAAAACAAGCTTCTCAAGGGAATTAGAGACTGGAAACAAAAATATATTCTACCAAATAATGTTGGCAAAGCATATCATAAGAATATCCCCCTAAGTAGTATTTTGATGTTGTGCCATCATCTTGTTTTGAAGTTTTAGAGAACCATGATAAAAGAAGTAAATAATGGAATTAGATTCCTTTAAAAACATAAAAATACCAGATTTTCTTTGTTATAGGAAAACATGCTTTTCCTGTAACTGCCTTGTCAACTGGTGCCTGGTGTGGGTCTCAGCTCCCTGTAACTGCCTTGTCAACTGGTGCCTAGTGTGGGTCTCAGCTGAGAATGCCAAATTCAGGACAGATTGACAATAATAGGACAGACACACCCCAAACTAGTGGCTATTGTAACATTAGATTCACCAAACCAGTAACATACTGAGGTTCTGTAGCATCACACTGGTTAACAAGAAACTTATCACCAAACCAGTAACATACTGAGGTTCTGTATCACACTCTGGTTAACAAGAAACTTACAACACAGGCCCCTTAGACAACCAGTCCTTATCACCACCCAGATATCTATCTGGTCATTATGATGAGAGGTTACTGAAAACCATGTTCATTGTATATAAAGTTTTTCCAATTTCAAAGGATAAGCCACCTTCCCTTTGTCAGTATATAACTCAGATCTTACCCAAACATCAGGCTGATGCCATTAGTGGCTAAAAACTAAAAGTTTAATAACATAAAAAGAAAAGAGGGTTCTTAAATGCTTAAGAGAATCAAATACAGTACCAGTGATTTTCAGAGACTATAGATCAGGATGATAACAGTGATATTAAATCTTGTAAAAAATCTCTCTGGTTCACCCAGGTTAGGGGTCATTCAGTCCTGTGTCCAAGCAGAAGAAGCAGAAATGAAGACAAAGTAGTGATGTCACAGCTTGCAATTTATAGCTCAGCTCATGTGCACAGAAAGTTGCTGACCAATATGAAGCCAGGATCACAAGAGTATGGAAATTTATTGGTAAAAGATGGAGCCTTAGTTCACATGTCCTCATCATATGTTCTTACATATTTGCTGAATCATAGAGGCAGCCATTGGCTCCACACTGTCTGAGGCATCTTCATGAAGAGCTGATTCCTATCAATGGCCTATCACCACATGAATGGTCCATCAACCTGAATGTAAATTTGTCGGCAGAGCGTCAGCCAGGAACACTACACATGTTTGAGATACAAATACTTAGCACATATTCATAACTTCATATACAAAGATGATAGACACATGTAAGCATTCAGCTGTCCTACCCAGGAGACCAGTGACTCAGGAGCCCTATAAACAACAACCTCTTTCACTATACAACCATGATTCACTCCCAGAGCAGGTCCATCCCTGACTGTGAAAAAGCAATATGCAATCATATAATTAAAGACTTTATCGTACTGCATACACATGGGATGGATGAATTAAGATTGTGCAATTTCCATTCACCAGTCAGAATTCCCCATCAGGAAAAAACAGAATTCTCTTAGAGGGGCAAAAAGCCTTCTGCTTCCTTAGTAGTGACCATACACATTGCTATTATTTCTTGTATTGTGTTCCATGATAGTTTATACCAAAGATTACAATACAGTTGTACACACAGCTGGGATCATCTCCTTTGTCCTTCTTGAAAAGATTGAGCAAATATATTCTCTGGAGTGAGTCACGAAAATTCTAACAAAACATTGGTTGGTGAAATCAAAACATTTCACAGAGATGATTTCCTGCTCGATTGTCTACCTGACTCCACAGCAGGCTGATGGGCAGCCAAGAGCTAAGGAACTCTGTGGGCCAAATCCTCAGTAGACCAGGTGTTTCCAGGGCTCCAGGGTCTCCCCAGCTTTTGGGACAGCTGATCACATAGTCTGTTTTGGAGTTAGGGACACCAGGGCTTCCACCCTGCAGCCTACAATACAGACTACACCAGAGCCAGGTTCCATTCCCTCGTATGCATAATTTCAGTATTTTGTGTTCCAAGTCAAAATAAAACCAAGCGAACTTTTTCTCCCTCCTCTAATGGTATCTCTTTACAGGGAAAGGCTCACCAGAAGGAAAGTGATCTTGATGCTTACTTATTTCAGTGAGAGTTGAAGACAGTCAGCAGCTTGCAGGATCTGTATATGCACACAAATGTTCTGTATATGCACACAAAATGTGCGGAAACTACAGTGTAAATACGAAAGAAAAACCTAAACACACTTTTTGTATTTAATAGAAGAATATTAAGATCTTTTTCTCTATTAAATTCATATGAAATTATAAGATTTGGAGAGTTATTCATGAAACTTTAATGCCCCATGTTAAATCTTTTTACTTATACAGTAGCTTTCAAGGTCTCTTCCAGTTCTAAGGAGATAGGCAATCTCCATTAAATTTAGCTTCATTAAGAACTCTTTTCTATTTCCTAGCTTCTAGCATTTTCTTTATTTCCTTTGGATTTTAGATCACCCATATTTTGTTGGTGTCCAGTTCCACCCAGAGTTTTCCTCGAGACCTATGAAGCCTTCACCTCCATATCTTGGTCTCTTGCTTGCAGCAACTGGGACACTCAGTGCACACTTGCAACGTGGATGTAAACTGTCTCCAAGGTAACCTTATTATTTGCTTGTTTGCCTACAGTTTTAGCAGGACTATCCTTTATCGATACAGTAAATTGGGCAGGGAAGGGGGCTTTTATATTGATTTTTATTATGTTCAAAAGAAAAATCTTGGCTCATGATTGGCAGAAAACAGTTATTTGAAGAGCCACATGTGGTATTTTTCCTCTTTCCTCACAGACTGACAATAGAAGGATCAGAAACAATAAGTACTACAGTAATGAAATGTAAATAAGTATCCCAGCTCCCTGCAGTCAGTTCTAGGAAAATTATTTCTCAACTCACAGGAGGTGTCTGGCCCTCAACTTAAGCTGAGTTAGTGGTTATTTTACCAGGAAAAAGGTCTGCTGGGTGTTCATGCAGTTAAGTGAAGTTCATATCCTATCTGAAGGTGACTGACCATAGCAATGAAACAGTAAATGTCAAGGTTATTAAGTTGCAGTGAGGTAATTATATTGAACAAGTAGACGAGGACTTAGCACAAAACCCAGCCTGAGTATCTGTCAAATCTGGGGAGGGTTTGAACCCAAGTCAGAATTTTGTGGCTGAGCCAAACCAAGTGTTTTGATTGCAAAGAGACCCAGCTCTATCTCTATAACCAAGGTAAAGTTCCTGGGACGTTACTTTTTTATAGCATTGTTTTTCAGCCTGTGTTAATGAATTAATATTTATAAAACACTTTAATGATCAAATATGCCCTGTTAATAGTAATAATTATAAGAGCACTGGAGGAAGGGGGAACTAAGGTTGAAATGGCAAAGCTACTGAGAAGCCAGAACAACCTAAAAGAATTTTCTTAGCTCCAACTTTGAAGTGCTCTGCCATCCTGAAAGTAAAATGCAAAACTTACCAGTTTTGTTTTTTTCCCCAGGCATTGCTTTTAAATAATTCTGAAATGTATTCTTATATTGAAGAGCAATGGGAAGGAATTTTTCTGACGACTCAATAGGAACATGAAAGTTACCAAGTCAAATTAAACTGCTAATATTGTGGTTCTTAGAGTTTACAGTAGCTTTTTCAGATGCAAATGAACCTCAACTCTAAAGGTCCTGGCCATTTTATGATGATGTACATACTTAACAAACACCTTCCTGACTTCTAAAGGTCATCTCTTATAAATCATAACATTCAAATATTATCCATAACCAGTGCTACAAAAGTTGTTAGAGGTGTGGGTCATAACATTATCTATCCCATTTTCAAATTTAGAGTTGATGGCCCCCTGTAGTAGTGGATTACATGGGTAAACTATAAACGGCAAAAGGAAGAACGATTTCATTGGTTCTGAATGAAATTTCTTTTAGAAATTTCTTTAAGTGCTTCTTTGTTCTCAATGAATATGTATGCAGAGTATGTTTCTGGCATGGTAAAAGATCATTTAAAATTCAAAATCGTTCCAAATCGTTCAAATGGTTATCCTAGGGTGTATTAAGTATATTTGTAAGTAAAGTATATTTGTTAGGGAGAAAAACAGTCAATTCTGAAAATAGAAAACAAATGTGATTTTTGACAATTACAATCCTAGACATATATTTTCTCTCCTTAGTAAAGTAATATAGCAATGATTAAGTAAAAGAAATCACTAAACATCTAGGGCTAGATCCTCAGCTGGTGCAAATTGGTGTATATCCATTGGCCTCAGTGCAACTATGCCGGTTTATAGCAACTCTGGCCTCTAAATCAAAAAGAGTATGTCTACACAGTCTCACTATTTCAGGGTAACATCCATTATCTCAAAATAGCGTTCTACATGTCTTAACAGAGATGCTCTGTGTTCTAGGCAGGAGGAGAGGATGGAAGTATGGGTCAGATCAGATGAGACACAATCAAATGAAAAAGAGTCTAACACATCAAGAAATGGCAGACAGATAAATAGTGACAAATTATTGAAGTGCTTATAAACAAATGCTAGAAGTCTAAATAATAAAATGGATGAACTAGAGTGCCTAGTTTTAAAGGAAGATATTGATATAATAGGCACCGCAGAAACTTGGTGGAACGAGGACAATCAATGGGATGCAACCATACCAGGGTACAAAATATATCAGAAGGACAGAACAGGTCATGCTGGCGGGGGAGTGGCACTATGCGTGAAAGAAAATGTAGAATCAAATCAAGTCAAAATCTTAAATGAGCCAAAATTTTCCATAGAATCTCTATGGATAGTAATTCCATGCTCCAATAATAAGAATATAGCAGAAGGGATATATTATCGATCACCTGATCAGGACAGTGATAGTTACTATGAAATGCTAAGGGAGATTAGAGAGGCTGTCAAATTAAAAAAACTCGATAATTGTGGGGGATTTCAACTATCCCTATATTGATTGGATACACGTCATCTCAGGACAGGATGCAGAGATACAATTTCTTGATAACTTTAGAGCAAGGGGTAAACAGTGAGGTGGCAAAATTTGCAGATGATGCCAAACTGCTCAAGATAGTTAAGACCAAAGCAGACTGTGAAGTGCTTCAAAAAGATCTCACTAAACTAAGTAATTGGGCAACAAAATGGCAAATGAAATGTAATGTTGATAAATGTCAAGTAATGCAATTGGAAAAATAATCCCAACTATGTATACAACATGATGAGGACTTATTTGTCTGCAGCTACTCACGAGAAAGATCTTGGAGTCATTGTGGATAGTTCTCTAAAAACATCCACTCGGTGCACAGCGGCAGTCAAAAAAAAAACAAAAACAAAAAAAAAAGGCAAACAGAATGTTAGGAGTCATTAAAAAAGGGATAGAGAATAAGACAGAAAATATCTTATTGCCCCTATATAAAACCATAGTACGCCCACATCTTGAAATCTGCATACAGATGTGGTTGCCTCACCTCAGAAAAGATATATTGGCATTGGAAAAGGTACAGAAAGGGGCAACAAAAATGATTAGGGGTTTGGTATGGGTTCCATATGAAGAGAAATTTAAAAGACTTGGTCTTTTCATCTTAGAAAAGAGGAGACTAAGGCGGGATATGATAGAGGTCAATAAAATCATGACTGGTGTGGAAAAAGTGAATAAGGACAAGTTATTTACTTGTTCCCAAAATAAAAGAACTAGGGTCAACAAATAAAATTAATAGGCAACAGGTTTAACACAAACAGAATGAAGTTTTTCTTCTTGCAGCGCACAGTCAACCTGTGAAACTCCTTGCCAGAAGATGCGGTGAAGGCTAGAACTTTAACAGGGTTCAAAAAAGTGCTAGATAGATTCATGGAGGTTAGGTCCATCAATGGCTATTAGCCAGGATGGGTAGGAATGGTGTCCCTAGCCTCTGTTTCTCTGGAGGTGGGTGATAAGGGAGGGATCATGTGAGGATTATCTGTGGTGGTCCTTCCCTCTGGGGCATCTGACATTGTCCACTGTTAGCAGACAATCTGGAGGTGGGTGATAAGGGAGGGATCATGTGAGGATTATCTGTGGTGGTCCTTCCCTCTGGGGCATCTGACATTGTCCACTGTTAGCAGACAAGATACTGGGCTCAATGGACCTTTGGTCTGACACAGTATGGTTGTTCTTATGTTTTTGTGTTATGTTCTTATTAAATACCACTGTTAGCAGACAAGATACTGGGCTCAATGGACCTTTGGTCTGACACAGAATGGTTGTTCTTATGTTCTTGTGTTATGTTCTTATTAAATCCATTTGAAATAATAGATTTCTTATTCTGGCTCCCTGTAAACCTCGTTGCATGACAATTAAGGAACGTACTGGAATAGTGATTTATTTTGAAATTAGCAGTGTGGACCGCACCAAATTTTGAAATAAGCTATTTTGAAATAAGCTAAGCAATTGTCATTACTTTGTATACATACCCGAAAGGGGCAATAAGCACTATGGGTTTATAAAAAATAAATATTTCCAGAGAAAAGATTTGATTCTATAGCTAGTGGATAAAGAGGGAACTTCAGATATAATATATTTGAATTTTAGTAAAGAATTTGGTACTGGGTCTTTTGAAATTTTGCTTGAAAAATGAATAGAAATTAGCTTAGATAAGAACACTGTCATGGTGATTGTAAAGCTGCTGAAGTACAGTAAACAACTTTTTTTAAAAGCAGCACCATGTAAAGATGAGAGGTGTCCTATGGGAAATCAGAGACCTAGTCTTCCCCAACTTCTGGAAGAAGGGCGTTACAATATATGAATGACATTTGCAAACAATACTAATTTAGGAAGATTTGGAAACACCAGTTAGGGCACAAGAATGATACAAAAGGATTTGGAGAGTTTAAAAACAGGAGTCAAAAAGAATGAAATGAGATTCCACTTGAGAAAATGCAGAACAGGGAAGTAAGGGTATGTCTAGACTACGCTAGACTTTCAAAAGAGGATATGCAAATTCTGCGGGAATTTGCATATCTTTTTTGAGCTCACTTTCAAAAGTGAAAGTAATCTAGACGTGGTTTTGTCAGTGAACCCTTCCGTTTGTCAACAAGCCTCTTTTCCTTAAAAAATGAGATTTACGCGGCTTGTCGATAAACGAAAGTGAGCTTGAAAGACGTACCACTTTTGAAAGTGAGATTCCCCAGGAATTTGCATATCCTTTTTCAAAAGTCTAGCGTAGTCTAGACCTAGCCTAACTGTCCTCTACCAAGTTCTGAAGTATTCCATTACATTTTGGGCACTGCATTAACAAGAAGAAAATTGGCAAGTTAGAGGGATTGAGAGAAGAGAAAAGAGTTTATCTATATGATACATAAGGAAGGGATACAATAGCTGAATATGTGAGGAGTGCAAATATGAATGGGACAGAGATCTTTTCACCCTTCTAAAAATGACCCCTGAGGGGAAGCCTGCTTTTTTTTTTTTTTTGGAGAGTGTCTGTCCCACAGAAGGAGTGCCTGTCTCTTGGGGCTAGGTACAGCTCCCCACTCCAGGTGTTGTGAGTTCACATGTGGGGTCATAGTACTATTCAGTTTGGGGCCCTCTCAAGAAGAGCCCAGACAAACTGCCAATTTTGCCTCCCTCCTTTCTTGGGCAGCC